TTCCTCCCCTAGCTGTGTGAGCCTTACTCCTTCCAAGGCAGCTACGTTTTATGTTAACCATTACCAGGAACACAATTGCCCGCCAGAGGCAGCTGCATACCAGCCAGTCATCCATTCACACACAAGACCTGAGAACTCCAGGACAGCAGCTGTTTCCAGAGGGGTTCCCACCTGACAAGCTGTATAAACGTGACCAGAGAGCAAAGTAACTTCCACTGTGCCCTGTGGGCCAAGTCCGAACTCCAGCAAATCTCACCTCGCATGGAGATTCACTTCCCTCCAGCTCAGGGTTGAGTTCATCCCGGCTTGAGTTCTGACATGCACAGAAGTCATAGAATCCTAGGGCTGGAAGAGATCTCAGGAGGTCATTGAGTCCAGCCCCCTACCCAAAGCAGGACCAACCCCAACTCCATCATCCCAGCCAGGGCTTTGTCAAACTGGGACTTACAAACCTCTAGGGATGGAGATTCCACCTCCTCCCTAGGGAACCCATCCCAGTGCTTCCCCACCCTCCTAGGGACATAGTTTTTCCTAACATCCCATCTACACATCCCTCAGTCCATCAGGGACTCATTCCTTACTTGGTTTGCCTGGGGATTGTTCCCCTGGGAGTTTTGACTCAGAAAGGACAGAGTTTGAACTAAGGCACTCAAGATTTGGCCTTAAACCACTTCTCCCTCAATGCAGCTTCACATCAGAAACCATTCTTTAATATAGAACATAGGTCTGGTCAAAATGTGTCCACCAAACTTGTTGTTGGATGGGAAAATGTGGGGGCTTGACCCAGTTAAATGTCACACAAGAAGTGTCTTTTCTATGGAAAAAGTTTGAAGGTTCATTTAAAACAATCCCGAAGCTGAAATATCTTGGCCAAAAATGGACGTGTCTTATTTCGGCTGCCGCACTGCGATGCCTTGAGGGAGCTGTAGTTCAGTTTCCTCCTTCTCTGTGGTCCAGTTGCTCCAGCCAGACTTTATCTCCCATGCTGCACCACAGAGCCCTCCAGGATGCAGCTACACAGAACCTGCTCTCACAATAAGAGGGAGACCACAATGCATCATGGGAGATGAAATCTTCCTCAGGAGCCCAGGCTTTTGAAGAGAAAGGGAGCACGAGGCACCAGGATAGTATTTCAGAATCAAAACATGTCAGGTTTAGCTTGTCTGCCAAAAAGTGACATTTTTTCCATGGGCAATAGAGGTGTGTTTAAATTTGCAGTGGGGAAAGCACATTTTCAGATCAGCAGTAATGCTAAAGAGCATGCTGGCCCATGCATACGGTTCCCAGCTGAGCTGTGGAGGGCAGAGGCAGGGGTGGCCCTAGACTAGCTGCCAGCAACTGGTGCCCTAGGCGAACCATGCAATCGGCACCCCCCAACCCCAAGGGCAGATATAGGCTGAGGTTTTTGGTAAACTGGGAAACATTTTGCCCCTATTTTCCATTTAGTTTTTTAAGCATATTTATTTATACAGGCATAATTATTCAGTTTGTCCATCCAACCAGTGTTTCTGAGATTAGATTAAAATAGATACACGAAATTTTCAGAGTAGATTTGTACATGAGAGACATATTTCAGTACGATTCAAATAAAAATGCATTACAAATGTTAGTTACTTTTATTATTACAAATCCAGAATAGTAATGCATTACAAATATTAATTATAATTTTTATTATTACAAATCCAAAATAGTCTATTTTGCTATTCTGCTTTAACTGCCATTACCACCACATCGCTGGGGAGAGGGGAGCTGGGGACAGAGTTCTGCGGCTGGGAAGAGGGGAGAGGGAACAGGGTGGTGCCTGTGGGGGGAGAGAGTCCCCTGCACCCACCCACCTCCTCCCAGGATTCCCACCCCC